CGCGTAAGAATTACTTCCTCTCTGCACTCATTCCAACTTGACGATTGCATATACTTGAAATTCGTGATTTTATACCAAACCATCAATTTGACTTTCACGCTTCTCTAACGTAATAGATTTAACATTTTAAGTCGCTTGAATGAAACTTAATTTATTGTAAGTACAATAATGATTATATTTATTTTTATTTGTGAAATAATTGACATATGGTTGATACGTTTATAAATAAGATTCCTTTTTAGCACACTTTATTTGCTCAGTGCTTAAGAAAAAAAATAAAACTTGCAATTTCATATTGAAAATTCGTAAATTCGCTTACTTGTTAAACTAGAAAGTAACTGTACAAGGCATGTTTTTCTATTCTAAAATTATATATATTTTTTCGGATATGTTTTTGTTAGAAAGAGAAAATACGGAGAACTTCCAGCTATAACAAAATAAACAGTACAAATATTCACTATGTAATTCAACCCTCTCTCTCGGTGAGGAGGCTGATAAACTAAATACAACTCAAATGTTTTGTTTTTTTATGATATCGTCAACAACATTTCCAAACGACCTAACCCTTCTGTTGACTACATTACATGCCCGATCCTTTACATTTCTCCAAACTTTAGCCCCGAGATTAACTGGTTATGGTGTAAAAATATTTTTATCTAGCTAACATTTTTTCTTTGCAAATAAATAAAAGAAAAAGTTTTTGTTTTCTCACATATTGAGATGATACAATTTTAAAAGTACATGCCATTTTGGTGTTATTTATAAACAATTTTAAGTAAGGCTCTTAAGGAACGTTTCTAAGGCTATACTATGGGCTAAACTTAAGTACATACCATTTTTGTATTATTTATGAACGTTTCTTTTTCAATAAGAAATACAATGAAACAATAATAAAATGGATACTTAATGCCAGAGGAGAAATAACGAAAATTAAACTGTAGGGTATATTACGAAACAAATAATAAATTATGTTCATTATACAATATGAATGGAATAGAAAATATCGTGCATTTTCTTGGAGTATGTCCTGTTCTGGCGGAAATTAGAAAATATTTTGGAAAAGATAGCTTGACATTTGGGGAAATAATTGCACATTTGAACGGAATAAATTGGTTACGTCTATCCTATTATTGTAAAACAGCCTGGCAATACAGATATGCCTTAAGCCAAGAATTTAATTATTAATTGATGAATAACGTTTAAGCCGAAAAAATTATTTATGTAATTATATTAAAATATCTATATTAAAAATTTGTATGTATTTATATATTAAAATTTTATTGTGTAATTATAATTGTGATATTGAAATTGTATATATTTTATTTCAGTATTTATTAGCATTTACATTGTATTTATTAACATTAACATGGTAGGTTTTAGTTTATATTATCAATAATACTTGTTTTGCCAAGGCCAGCTTCCGGCTGAGGGTTTCAAGAATCAGGCCGTAAATATTTTTTATTGAGCTTGGATACTTTTGTTGTTTGTTATTATATTGTATGAATACTCAATAAAAAATGCATTAATTCATTAATTCATGAACGTTTCCAAGGAATGTTTCTCTGTATGGTTCCGATAAACAGCCTATGTTACATTTAAGAGCATACATATAGGGCTACCTTAACTAAATTTTCTATTTGAAAAATAATACTTTATGATTTCTATTGCTAAGGGAGTAGGTTACGGAATGCATCCTTCAACTCACCTTGAATGCTCCGTCAAAAACAAATTGTTTTATGAAATTCACTGGAAAAAAAACTCCTTTCAGACAATTTGGTGATTCTTCTTCTTTTAAACATTGAAGGGGAACATACATATTGCGCAACGAATAAGTAAAGGAGAGGGAACATTTTTAGTTTACAATATCTTTATTGTTTTATAGAAACATCTCTGCAATCAAATCGGCTAAAAGGAATCATTTTTCATTTTTATCAACGGAAGATTAACATTGATTTAGAAGAACGACTATCCATATCACGCTGTTTGCATATTTTATAATCGTTAATATTACAGATGTTGATTTTCATTCCATTTAAATTGTAACAGTGGAATTAAGTAAATAAGCAAGAAGTATTAACCTTTTTTCCACATTTTTAAACGTAGATGTCTTCATCTCATGCTCAAAATAAGTTAACTTCAGTGGCTTCATTATAAACCATAACATTTTTCTATCTGTAATGTAAGTTTTTTTCTGTTAAATTAGACTAATGCTAGCTTTCAACTATACCTAGGGATGAAATCAAATGTAAATAAATTTATTATTCTGGGAATAGTACAAATGAAGAATAAAAATATATAATAATAAACAAGTGGTGTAATGAACGTTTAACAATCAGACCAAAACCATCAAAAACGTTTCCTATCATGATAGGGGAATGTAATCTTAAGTTAAATAAATATCTACCGTGAAAACAGTACCAATACAGAAATGAATATAAAAATAAATAAAGAATTAATGATTAAAATATTTACAGTCCTTTGAAATCCTTAATTTGATCAAACAGTCTTCTTTTTTTTTTTTTATAAACTCTATTAGTTTCAAACGAAAAAAAAAATATCATATCATATATTTTTACCAGAACAATACAGCAGGAAAATTATGGAACACAGATGATGGAGGAGTACTCCGAAATTTGGGCTCGGTAATGTTCTAGCATAATAAAGTGATTATTATGGAAATATTTTACCCATATATATATATATATATATATATATATATATATATATATATATATATATATATATATATCAATCACTAAATATGAAAAAAGTATGTACAGCACAAGTTGGTTAATAAGAAAGCAATATGGTCCTTAAAATTTGGAAAATCTGACTAAATCAAGACAAATCACAGCACATCACATTTACGCTTCGACATGAAACATGCCCTCCAATTTTCCTGGACAATACACAGATTCCACAGACAGACACTGTTCACTACCTTGGTCTGACATATGACAGAAAAATGACGTGGAGCCCACATATAATCAAAAAACGAAAACCGTTAAATCAAAGATTAAGAATTCTGAGTTCACTTCTTTCGAAAAATTCAAAACTAAAACTTAGACAGAAATTGAACACATAGAATTACTTACTAAAACCTATTTGGACTTACGCATCACAGATATTTGGAACTGCTAAAAAGACTCACTTAAACAAAGTTCAAATCTTTCAAGAAAAAACATTCAGAACAATTACAAAAGCACCTTGGTACGTTAGCAACATAACGTTACATACTGACCTCCATATACCGACTGTTAACGAACACATACGTACTCATTACAAACGATTCCATGACAACTTACAAGGACATCCTAATACACTTATAAATGAAATGGCCACTACGAATATGCCAGGTAACGTCTGTAGAAGACTGAAGAGGAGCTGGATGAGGGACCTCCTCGCCTAATGTAGATATCACGCCGAGTGAGGTGCCGCTGGGCACTGATTCTCCTCATGCCTTTCATGACATTATATTTAGCAGCAATCGATCTCACATTCACTGGTTGTCATTACCATTATGACAGGTGTGAATAAAACATTAAAGCTAAAAAAAAAAATAATTAAAAATGGTATTGAGAAAGATATAACAAACTCGATCAATTTATAAAAAGACCACTATATAACTTGATATAAAACTACTGCAAGAAGGCATAAAGGTGAAATAATCCCAATTTACAAAAGATCATATCACCAGCATAAAGCATCTTTGATTCGAATCGCTTTGTAATGTGTTGAGGAATTGAACTAACCCTAGAGATTCATGGTCCAAATTGGAAGAGTACCATATACTGCTTCATATACAGAGTTTAATTTTAATTCAGGGAATAACAATAAACCTAGCTCGCCATAAACTGGATACACGATTAATACGCTGCAATGGTTATTCAGCTTAATGGATGAATGATCATGAATTAGTTGACGGACAAAGACTAGTCAGGCAGATGGTCTGAAATTAGATTATATCTGAACATCTGTATGGTATTATTGGTACATTTCAAAATCAAATCTTTATGTATCTGAAGAAAATATACTAATAATAAAAACAATAAACCACTACACGATATTCTAAAACGTAATGATATAGAAGAGAGTCATTGTTAAAGAGCTGAGAAAGTTTTTATTTAAAAAACGTAATGAATTTATTCAAATTAATCTTCTGTAAACATCAAGGAAATTACTATAAATTTATTTTATCTAACAAGTTATAAAAAATAATTCATCTATTGTCTCATAATGTTCGATATAAGCAATCAGAGAGGCCAAAACTAAAATTTATGAAACTTTCCATATTTGATATTTCGAGAGATATTGAATCTATAAATAAATATTTAAAATATCTACAATATAATTACAGAAAGCTATTTCTTAATTTCGTAGCATTTTTCGAATACCATTAACCTTTTGTGTTCGTATGCAATTTATATGATCGGATACGGTTAAGCGAAGAAAAGAAAAAAAACAATTGTAACTGATAGAGTGAATTACTTGTGATTGATAAAAACACGTCCCTGTTGTATTTGATGTTTTTTTTTTTTTTTATAAAAATGGATGCAATATATTGGAATAACGTTAATTAATTTTTTATCTAAAGGGCATTTTTACTTTCCTACCTATACTAGGTAAGGAAAGTTTTTATTTCTTGTGTTTGTACTTGTAGGCAGTACAAACACAAGAAATTTGCTAGATGCGCAGCCGCGCAGATGCAAATTGCATAAAATATAAATAAATAAAATAATGTTTATGAATTTATAATTTTATGTTTATTTTATCAAGATTGTAACGTTGGAAAATATTTTTATTATTAAGATTTGAAATTTTTAAAACTACATATATATTTTCAGTTTTATATTTTATAACAAAAAAACTTGACACTTTAGAACAGAACAATAAATCAAAATAATAAAAGAAGAGATGAAGAAATGAAGAGAGAAGGATTGATACAGAGGAAGGTGAAATAGTGGCCCGGTTTCCTTTCCCAGGGGGAAAACTGATATGTATCAGGTGTTCCTCTCACTCCACCTCCATTCACACAAAGGTGGCAGAAAGCTTCTGTGCTCTGATGTTTTGATGCCTTCTCCCTGTCTCCTTGGATTTAGCAATGGCTGCCATCCATTCTCTTTGTAGTTCTTTGACGTTTGTAATTTTCTTTATAAATATACTTTATAAAATTTTATCTCGTTTGTTAATTTCAAATCCTTTATTAATCCAAACATGAAACTATCCATAGTGAACCTTATGTCGTAGATATGCCACAATGATTTCCTTTTAGATCTCAAGTAATTACGGTCTAATACAACGGAAGAGTAGTCGGTTTCTCTGGAGCTCAATGTTTTTTGGTGTGCTGAAGTTGGGTGAAAAAAGAATTCCTTATATAGCTATAACGTATGTGACATTTTCTAATTGTTTACCAGTTACACTTAGTGTTAACCGAAATCGGCCCTGGTCTTAGTCTTGCGATGTGCCTAATTGTTTTGCAAGACGAAGAAAAAGACTGCTAAAATAAAAAAGCAAAATATTTACCTATACTAGACAATTTTATGTAAAGAATTAGTAAAAGTAGTTTTCCTTTGCATTAAAATCTTCCAATTCTTTCATTTGGGGATTAGTTATGTTTCTCCATTTTGAAAAATAACAATAAAATCTGTATATTGAATATTTAATTTAGTCTATTTATGACCGCCACCCAGATCATCTCCTTCCTTAATAATGCAACGGTCAATTATTGTTGATGATATCTTGTATATATATACATATATATAACTTTTTTTTCCGGTTGGCTGTACAGACAATGTAGAAGTTTGGCCGCCTGAACCAGCCTTCTCCGCCTATGCCCATCTTGGGCTACTGCTTTCCAGTTTGCTGCATGAAGCTCAGCCGTATCTTTGTTTATCCTATTTATCCATCTGGTTTTTGGCCTCCCACGTGGTCTCTTGCCTACTACTCTGGCATTCATTGTCGTCTAGAGGCGTCCTGATGGATTACTACGAGCTACATGCCCTGCCCATCTTAATCTCCTTGCCTTCATGTCATGAGATATTGACTGACCCGTTTCTTTCAACAGGGAGCGGGGTAGCTCAGTGGTAGGGCATTGAGTTTGCAATGCAAAGGTCCCGAGTTCGAACCCCGGCTAATGGCAGAAAATTTATTATCTGTTTCATTGGCCGTGGGGCGACCTTGGGTCAGGAGTCACCTCCTGGGGCACACCCAGCCTCTATAAAGTGGGTACCCTTAATTAAATAATTAATTAAGGGGGAAAACCTGGCGGTTGAGCGTGATCTCGGTCAAATCACCTCCTTCCACAACCGTGGACCTAGAAACAGTGCTTTCCCTAAATAGTGCTGAACCCCAGACCCTTCATGGGTTGTAGTGGTACAGGTTAAGGTTTCTTTCAACAGTTGTTTATTGTTCCTTCTCCTCAATGTGTCAAGGTTCTGGTCCCCTATAGGTCCTGCTATCCTACGTAAAACTTTTCTATCAAATCTCTCAATTCTGGCTTCTAATGTGTCACGGTTTCACAACCGTAAAGAAGAACTGGCTTAATCACGGCGTTGTACACCCTTATTTTGAGATTTCTGGAGATTTTTTTTTCTAGATTTCACTAGCTTTGAAAGAGGGGAGAAAGATCTGTTCGCACTTGTTATTCGCTAGTCTCTCTCTGTTACTTGATCATTTATTGAGGTTATTGTGGAGCCGAGGTATTTGAATCTGTCTACTTTCGGGAATGACTTAGATCATGTTATTAGGGTGGATGTTTCGGCTAACTATCATATATTTTGTTTTATCTACATTGACCTGTAGTCCGATTTGCTATGCTTTTTTTAATAGAGTCCAAGCGAGTCTCTCAATATCCTCTTGATTACTTCCGAGGACAGCTATATCATCGGCATATGCTAGAATTTTATGTTTCATTCCAACGTGCACCCCTCCATCTTCGCGTGATGTTATATTTATTACTTTCTCTAGTGTTAAGTTGAACGTTGGCATCTCGTTGCCTCAAACTCGTTCGAACTATATATATATATATATATATATATATATATATGTGTGTGTGTGTGTGTGTTTGGGAGGAGAAGGGGAAGCAAAACTTTGGGAAGTCTAGAAGTGGAGAAAATCGCACTAAAAAAATAAAAAAAGTAAAATTTAATTATCTTTATATGTACAAAGGGATATATTTCCACACTATAATTATATTTTGTTTTTAAAATTTTACCCTGTCTTGAAGACAGAAAAAAAGTGCTAACAAAATATTTTTTAACATGAAGCGAAAATTTAAAAATAAATAGTTTTTTTTTCATTTGTCAGTGTACGCTTTATTGTTAAATGTTAGCCGCTTTTCCTTTGTTCATATGAGCTTTTCATTTGCTAAATATTTCCTTCTATTATGTAAGTGGGAATACATATTCTCGGAGAGGACGGAAACGTGTGTTTGAAGGAGAAGAAAGAAAGAAGAAAGGTAAAAAAAAGTAAAGAAAACTCGGAGAGAAGAGATCCGTTAGGGAATGATAGTCGGGACAGGAGGAGAGAGGTAGAGAGAAAGGGGAAAGATAAAACAGCGAGTATAAAAGAACCGCAGCTTACAATGCCATGACGAATTCTCGACAATCCACCTCAGCCAGGCCGCTACCACCGCTGAATAATTCCTCGTCCTCTCTTCTTGACAGTTTTTCCAACAGTCCAAGGCATTTCCCGATAGGATATAAAAGATAGGCGCTGAGGCTCTGCTGATCAATACCATCAGGAATCATATCCACTCCAAACAAGACCATTTTATAAATTGTATTCCTCTCCTTGTTATGGATATAGGATTTCGGCAAAATGCAGAAAGACAAAATTCTAATATGAAATCAAAACAAACCTAGTTTAACATAAAAGGATTATGAATTTTGGCAGCTTAATATTAATCGTAATAAATTAAATGCGTGATTGATTTAGGATAAATCTGAAATTAAATTTTTGAAAACAGACAAATTCACTTTGACGTGGCTATGAGAGAATCAATGGGATCTTCTGGAGTTCAGTTTTTCCTTCAACATGTGGTGGGCAGAGATCGATTTGAAATTCTCGAAGAGAACGTAAATCTTGCATACCGCTAAATGTTCAAGAAGCCTTATGTATTTCAACAATTTTATTTATGAAGTTCATATCGTGTTCATTTTATTACTATTTACAATCGTTATCATTGTCATTTATTAAAAATAAAATTAATGCTTTAATTAACTAAAAAAAAAAAAATGTTTTCAAATTGAAAGAAGTATTGCTAATTGATGTATTAGAAAAGGTCATATTCCCAAAATCTTTAATTCCCATATGCAACAGAATCTTTGTAGTATGGCAAATACTAAATGTTCAGAACGACATAACTCTGCCAAATCGTCTGATTTCGATGATTTTTTTTTTTACGTTGTTTATGGAATTTAGCAAGATTTCTTTTACTTTTCGAGTTATTCACAAATTATGAATTCATTTGTAACGTCTCGATTCGTTGAGACGTCACTATCATGTGGTTTGAAACCATCCACTTTTACATTCACTTATATTTAAATCCTGGTATAAAATTAGGAATCAAAATTACGATTCACGCACTTTACGTGATATTCCCTTTCTATTGATACATTCGTCAAAATCCATCATTCCTGAGTGCTGGAAAAGTGATATATTTCTGAGAAATAATATATAAGATTGACATCTCCGAGAATTCACGTTTGATTGTCATTAAATTAAAATTTTATATTTTATAATTTTAAATTGTTTTGAAATTAAAATAACAGTGAATTAAATAAGGTAGGATAACTTTAGTTGGCAAATAGTTGCAAAAATATAGGAGGCGCTGACAGTAAGCTCTCAGCACTCAGCAAGATGGAGTCCGACATAGGGGAGTCTTATTCTCGGAGATGTCGGCATATAAAACATTTCATTAAATTATTTATTTATTTAAACACAAATACTTTAATGTAAAATCCTTTCAGAGATGATATAAGACGAAGAACAAGAATACTGTTCCAATCATTTATGTTTTATCAACAGACAAAAACAGAGAAAGGTACGGCACGATGTGATAATAATTGCATGACGATTAAAAATTATGAAATACATGAATTGGTTATGTCATTAATTAAATTATTATTTTATTAATGTAATTCTTTTTTATGTGATTTATTAATAAAGAAGAATATGGCGCAAGGACACCGAAAGCTATTCTACTAATAAAGTTGTAAAAATATCATACAGAGTGTCAATGATGAAAACTCCTGATGTAATAATCCTTGCATTGCTTATATTTTCTTTTTTCTTGTGTTTGGTTTGTTTATTATTTATTTTTTTTTATTCTAATAAATTTATTTAACTTATCACAGTTATACAAAGTTAATTGTATGTTATGAATTTCATATTTTTTTTAATTTTATTTGTTAATTAAATATATATATATATATATATATATATATATATATACACATATATATAAATTTCTTAATATCATAAAGGTTTGCATAGATTACTCTGAACCTATTTCTTTCTTTTTACTATTTTTATTATTTAAAAAAAAAAGTCTTATCGTTTATATTTTGTTTTATATATTTATTCATATTTTATTCAGCATATTTTAAATTTATGTTAATACCCGATACTTCAGTTTTACTAATATATGTGTAATCAGAGTTTAATGTATTGTAATTTTGTTTTAATTTATTATTTGTTTCTTACCACTATTGCTTTAGAAACCCGTTTGTACAAATACCAGTGTAGTGTGTCTGTATTGTAGTTACTGATGTATACAGATAGTGTTGCAACATCTGCTTCGGTATGAGATTCTAACAGGTCCAATATGTACAGTAACCACAGCCTGATGTATCACCAGTTGAGATTATACCCTTACTCGTATACCGTCACAATGTCTGCTCACAATCAGATAAATACAATCTTGTATATTTTAACTATTAAATAAATAATTGACTATTCTTGATTAGATTAGAAATCACCACATTTTGTTATTTTTTTTTCTAGCTGAATAACTTTTTTTTGGGCCTATTAGAACAATAGACCTCGCATTGTCTCACCATACAACGGATATGGGAAATATGCAAGATAAGGGAGCGGATATGACCAGAGTGGTTGATAAGCACATGTAAATTGAATTCTTCGGCTGGGTAGAAAATGGACTGTAATTTGTGCAGCATTACATGCGCAGTGAGATGGACTGATAGAGTATGCAAATGTTATCCTTTTATGGCGAAATTCGAGAACATACATCTTCGGAGAGTAATTTAAATATCATTTTTGAGTTCGTCCAATTCAGAATAATTGAATATCTTTCCGTTTCTACGCATGAGTTTTTATAAACAGAAGAATATTCATTTTACTAAAATTATTTTCTTATTTTATTTCAAAATTCATTTTTTTTTTAAATAAACTTACACCACTAAAAAATAATTATTTTTCAAAACAAATTTGGGGAAAAAATGGTTAATTATTCCTAATATTTTATCAGAAATTGATTCATCTGACTAATGATGTAAATCTATCACCCATATAAAATCTACATCTGATAAAACTTCAATCTGAAAGAACATAAAAGGCTCATGAGGACAAAGGAAAAGGATCAAATGGTACGTTCTCCAGACGAGCGTGGTTTTCCTTATTGATAAATGAAAGGTAGAATGAATGAATGAATGAAACAATGAGACTGCGTGCTACTTTTAGAGCATGCCAAAAATGAATAAATGAGATAAGGATTTGGGACGAAGAGATATTCAATTCCACTCCATCAATTATCAATGATTGAGGAAGTATACAGCACTGGCGGGTCTACGGAGGGGAGACTTCCCAAGCCCCCGACAGCCCAAAAGCCCCCACCCCCCTATTCGGGTTGAAGCCTCCCGAGATGGAAAAATAATATTTATTTTTCATTGGTCTATATTTGTTCTTGCATGTGATCAAAACAAACACCTGAATAATCATAATTTATTCTCTTTGTATATTGTAATACATATATAACCTGAACCACTACAACCCATGAAGGGTGTTTGGGTTCATATGGTTCATATGGGGAAAATACTGTTTCAAGGCCAATGGTTGTGCAAAGAGGGGATCGAGCCCGGATCACGCTCAACCGCCAAATTTTCCCTCTTAATCAATTATTTAATTAAGGGTTGTGACTTTGAAGAGGCTGGATGTGCCCAAGGAAGGTTACCATACCCCAGGGTTGGCCCACGTCCAATGAGACAGAATAAATAATTTTTCTTCCATGAGCCAGGATTCGAACCTGGGACCTTGGAAACTTAGTGCCCTACTACAGAGCTACCCCGCATTATAATTCGTATAAAGCTGCCAAATGTAGGCTCGTGTCTAGAAATAAAAAGAAAGAAAATTATCTCTAAAACCAATAATGGTTCAGTAATTAAAGTTTTTTTTTCTTAAAAATTACCATTATTAAAATAATAAAAAATAAAATAAAACCCGTACAATTAAATCCTCGATCCACTTATGGTATACAGTACTAGGCCCATATATTTAGGAACCTATAAGGTTTTAAAAATAGTTGTTTGGATTGTTTTCTTATTTCCAATGATATTTAGTTTTCGAATCTTTTTTTTTTTCTCTTCATATATTTATCCACACCTGTCATAGTTTTGACAATAAGTAGATCTGATGTCAAAGTACAGAAAATTGGCATTTTAGCCATGGGGAAGAATAGTACCCAGCAGCACCTCTTCCTGTTATTGATTTACTTCTTTGATTCAGGAAAGGAGATCTCTCATCCAATTACTCTCTAGTCGTCTGCTGATGGACATTTTAGCTGTGATCATGTCCTCGATAAGTCCGTTGTGATGTCCGTGCAGTTCAAGATGAAATCGAGAGTACGTATGTGTTGGTCGATAGTTGGTTGTCGTAAGTCGGCATATAAATTGTTGTTGTTTACGTACCAAGGAGCTGCTGTTATTAGTCTTAAAATTTTGTATTGAAATGATTGTAGTTTTTTCAAGTGCTTCTTTTTTGCAGAACAGTAAATTTGTTTTGTTTTAATGGTTTAGTTTTTGTTCGATTTTCAGTTTTGGAAAAAAGTTAGTAAAGTATTTTCAGTCGCTTGTTCAAAGTCTTTCGTATAATTTTAACATGTGGACCCCAGGCCATAACTTCTGTCGAATATTAGCTCGACATAACGTACAGTGTTCGTCTGAGGGATTTAATTAACGACTTTGAAAATACTACGAGTAGGTATGTGAAAAATGATCAATTTAAAATTATAATTTATCAGTTCAGAAAAATTACCAAAAAGTGTTTTAATAATTTTCTTTTTTTGTTTATGAATGTTATTTAAGAATTAAAACCTTCAGAAGTATATGAAATGACAGAATATCCGTTTTTATTTTTAATTGCTGAAATCATATGTTCGAATTAATTATTTTACATCCTCGACCTCCGTTTATTATATTATATTTCTCCTCTGAAATTTTATGTGCGTTAAAAAGAATTCTGTGAAAAAAAATAACAAGCTGTCGAGAATTCCCGCGTCACAAAAGACTGATGAAGGTAGGTGACAGACCACCAGGTCACGTAGCCACGTCCAGGACTTCTTCAACTCCTCGGAGCTGTTTCTAGGGAAATTAGGAGGTAAAAAGAAGAGTGGAATGATGCCCTAATAATTGTCCTTACGCAAGAAGTGAAGTAATTTAGAATTTTTTTTAAGCAGTGATATTCTTATATTTTTTTGGAAGAGAATAATGTTCACCAGTTGTTTTGATACTATAAAAAAAGGTCATATAAAAAA